AGATACTATTGAAGAACCCCCATTGGTTGTGTTCTATGCGCGTCTTACTCACATATAGCCTCCAGTTTGGATTTTTTTTTTCCTAGTTTTTTGTTAGAATTTTTATTAGTATTTCCCATTTCTCATGGAGATCTCTTTTAATCGATTAAATAATAATATTTTTTATTAATCATCTGTTTAGTGACGCCTAATTCGATAGTAGGTTAGCAGGTTTGATCTATTGATTTTTTTATGGGCTATTTTATTATAACGATAAGAAGTTTAATAATAAGTCATTCTGTATCATCCGTTTGGTAGATAAAGTAGGTCATCTATCAGATCATCTGTATTTACACTTAATTTTTTATGGATTTTTTTTATAAAATAAATAATCTTCAAAAAGAATGTTTTGATCATGCATATGGCATAACTTTATAACTTAGTCTCATGCTTTAAAAAATTAAAAACATAAAAGCAACCAACACTAAAAAAAAATAGTTCATTAGTGACTATTTTTTGTGATTGATTTTTCGGTCACAAAAAACTGTAACTGATTTGCGACTGTTTTGTGACCTATTTGCGACTACAGACAATAGACTGTACAAATAGTCACAAATTTACGATCAAAACAAACGGTCGTAAAAGCGTCCTAAAATAGTGACTGAGTTATGACTAATATTGGACTATTTAAGGGTAGTCGCAAATCCGTCACAAATTTAAGACTTGGGGGGTAAAATCGCAAACCCTAACCACTTTGAGGGTTTATTTGTATAAAACTCAATTATAAACCCTAAAACATATTTTGATCCCTAACAAACCCTAAACCCTCAAAATTAATTCCTAATACAACATAATTAACTCAAATATAAATAATATAATGAATAAATAATTTTGAAAAAAGTGGCATTTTTGCAAAGATTTTAAAAAAGTGACATTTTTAAAAAATGGTTCTTCAAAAGTGGTATTTCTAAAAAAAACCATGTTTAAAATGGTGACCTAACGTCTAGTGTTTAGAACGCCTAATTAGAGTTTAGACGAATTTCTATCCAGTCTAAATATTTTAGAAAATTTCATAATATATAAGTATATATATAACCAAAAATATATAAAAAAAAAATTTATAAATAAGAAAATTTATATTATATTTATCATCATCATTTTATAGCAAATATATAGAA